CTCTTTCCCAAGCTAAGAAGGAATGCTGGGACAGGTTCTTGCAGGAGAAGTTTGAGTCTGAATTTTATGTTGAGGGACATGAATCTGATGAGAGGTAATAAGCAAGTTGATAAGAAAGGATTACCACTTCAGGCATAATCATCTATATTGGCAAATAGATCAGACTTTATTTCTTAAAGTAAAATAAGTTCTGGCCAGGAATTGTTTTAGGACATTATGACAAAAAATAATACTTCATTGCAACTTTGCTAAGATCGTCACAGCCTTTCTGAAACAGGTTGATAATTACCATTTGCTTAGCACTCACACAGAGGAAAATACATAGAACACTTACAGTTTGAACTTCCAAAGCTGTTCACTGATGGAGTCCCTCAGACTGGGGTGATCTGGCGTCAGGAACCTACTTGATGATTTCTTTTCTTACATTTGGAGTAGGGAATGTTTAAAGTGTCTCAATTTTTTTAAATCTTATTTTTACAAATGAAGCCTAGGCCATTCCCTGCATCTTTGTAAAGTCCCACTTAGGCACTGCTTCATATGCAAGTAGGACCTTTTCTTTTGAAGTTCTTTACAGGTTGATACCAGTCCTGGAATTAGCTCTCCTGAGTAGCTGGCTTTTCATTCAGTGCCTGTCTTACAATTCTTTTGCTCTCTCCCCCATTATCCTTTTGCATATGATGCATGAATTAAGATGAAAGTCTCTTTAGCAATCTCAGTTTCTCAGTCACTTATAATGTTCTCAATATCTTTCCTTTCTGAGCTGACATTTTTCATGACTGCTTCTCACTGAAAAGATTATCTTTCTCCCTTGAAGAAAGTACTTAAGGTAGTTTTAGAGCTTAAGTATGAAAAATAATCATGTTAATAAGTAATTTTTGAGTTTTTTCTGCAACCATTTAACTTGGATGTGATTTATATTTAAAAAAAAATCAGATTTTTGCAGACCTATGTGCTCTTTCTATTCTGTAAATGCTTTTAAGGGCTGGGGAAGTTGTCCATGAACAATTTTCCTTGCTAGAATTTGACTATATGAAGGTAGAGGTAATTTCTGAGAGGTACTGAGCTATTTGATTCCCATCTAGCAAAGTACTTAAGTCCCTAGCTTTTAAGCACACAAATAATTCCAAGGACATTACGATGTGAAATTCTGCTTCTGTAAAAGAGCAAGAAAGTTTATTTCACTGAGGAAGGATTGAATGACTTGAATCACACTTTTTGGAAGGTGAGCATACGCATACATGCACACACACACATGTACAGATACATTTCAGAATTATAGTATTAGAGTTGTAGGCTGCATTTAGATTAAAAAAAAGGTAGATCTGTTCCTCTGAGACCAGTTATTGAAATAGGCTGTAAGATACTAAATATATTAGTATGTAAGTATGTATAGTATCCATAGTATGGTTAGCATTCTAGGAAGTATACATACCACTTTTTTTCCTTAACCTTGTGTTAGTTTTACTAGCAAAGATTAATGGTCACACTTTGTATACATGCTTCCTAGGGGCTCCTGTTTGTTTCTGTTTCCTAATCCTCATTTACCAGTTTTTGTTTTTTTTGTTTTTTTTAAATGCTAGCTTTTTACTTCCAGTCCAGAAAGCTGAAACTTGAATTTTAGTCTTTGGCTACAGTGACTAACTAGTACTTTAGAAATCTTAAAGTTTTTCTAAAGTAAAGTATATAATGTACCAAGTAAGGATTATCTTTCTCAAGAAAACCAGCAAGAGAATAAAACTTTTCCAGCCGTAGCTGAAAAAGCCTAGCTACAATAAAACAGTCTGAGTGCTGTTTCAAGATGTTTTTTACACTTTGAATTGTCGTCTTTTTGGCTGGCGTCCTGACTTTTAAACACATTATTGGAGATGTTGCAGGGGCGTGTCAAGGACCACATTTCTATTTTCTTAGAGTGAAAGATTGTGCTTGCTCCTCCGTCACACAGATCAGTTCTGTGATAGACCTAATTGGTGGCAATAGAATTGTCTACAAAGTTGAAAGAAATATATATGGAGGATTCCTATAACAATTTTTTAAATGTTCCTGTGAGATTTTATTGGTATTTTATGTTTAACTTTGCTTTCTCTCAGCACGCTGGAACATCTAAAGCGATGGCTGCATCCTGATAAAGTGGCAATCAGTACTGAAGAGGTACAGTACCTCATCCCTCCAGAATCACAGCCAGAAAAGCAGGAGACTGAGGAAGAACCTCCAGCTGCAGAGCAGTGAGATGCATGCCAGCCATGCCACACAGCTGCCTGTTGTCCAAACCCTAATGAAATTGTATGCAGTTACAGTAATAATAGGATGGGGTTGAGGGAAAGTGCCAATTACTGGTCAGTTAAAAAAAAAAAAAAGAGCTGTGGACCTCCAGAAACAGTGACTGTTGATTGTTATTTACAAGAGGGAAATGCCTGTGACGCAGTATATGCTGAACTGAAATCCTACCTTGATCTTCTCCCAGCTTGTAGAACCTGATCATTCCAGTCTGAATGTGAATTGTTTGTAACTCATCAAGAGAAA